TATCTGAACGATGAAAACACAAATGGTATATATAGTGCTGTGTAAGCCAATCTCATTTCGATTCAATATCGATTCATTAACGATTCGAATCGGTTCACGTCACTTCGATCCTTTTGAAGACACGGAACCCGCAAAGGTGATTCGGTGGATCAACAATGGATTTTTATTGCTTTATCGAAAACATTTGGCCGCGAGTGCTCACCAAACAGATCGGTGATTTGGATATCAAAAACGGCTGCTACCCGCATGCAGAGTGAATATTTCGTGGGTGGTAAAATAGTGATTCCCGATGCCAAAATCTTTCGGACAGTTGGGGCTCGTAGTGGAAACTTGGCAAAGACCCCGTATACTAGAAGGCCGCTAGATGAATGCTGGAGTTCCTTGAGGTACCTCAAGGCCGAGAATCTTCCACCCCCCTCAGCTATGAACAAGGAACTGAAGGAGTGAATGGGCCGTGATAAAAGTGACACTGGTCTTTTTTTATGTGTTAGATGGGTGGACGAGCTCACAGCCTGGTGTTAAGTGGTTACTGGAGCCCATAGGCGTCTACAACGTATATGCGCCATCCACCTTGAGATATGATTTCTAAGATCCCAGTATAGTTACAATGGCTGCCCCACCCTCCAAACCGAAACGCATTATTGCTTTACTGCTTCACGGCAGAAATAGGCGGGGTGGTGGTACCTACCCGTGCGGACTCACAAGAAGTCCTACCGCCAGTAATTACGAAAATTAAAATTTTGCGGGTTTAATTTTTACTACACAATGTTATTCCTTCACCGTGGAAGTCAATCGTGAACATTTGTTGAGCACGTATTTAGTGATTCTTTAGTAATATTTTTTTTATTTCCCCTTTAGGGAGACGAGCGTACGGTCCACCTGATGGTGAGTGGTCACCGTCGCCCATGGACGTCAGCAATGCCCGGGACAGAGCCAAGCCGTTGCCTACATCTCTTTAATTTTAAGTTTATATACGTTATATATATGCATAGATATTGTCAGAAGCAGAAGTGTACCGAGATTCGTATGATACATTAAAATCTGCCTGTTCGGTTTTTCACGCATTGACCTTACATTGGCTGTAACATTGTGAGCGTTCGTTTCGTTATTTGTACATTCTTTTGAAATTGAAACTTTTCATTATAACGGAAGCAACATCGAAATTAATTGTAAATTGCCAATTATGAGCTAGGTATTTACGAATGGGGAGTAAAAGTTAGAGAGGGGATGCGTTGCGAGAAGGGAATATCTCGGCGTCTCACTCGCACGCCCGCAACTCAAACGTGTGACGTTACGACACGTTATCTGTTTTTAAATTTCCTCCACTATTAACGGAATGTAAAAAGGACATAATGAGGGATAAAAGGCTATTTGGTTAAAGCGACATTTTTGCAACTTTACAGGAGAGCTTTATTTAAAAGTTAAAATTTGGAAAATATACCATAAAAAAAAAGAATTCAGCTTTTTGATAAGTGGTAATTAGTTGAAATTCAATTAAAAATGTCGACTTGTTGATGCTGATACCAAATAAAACGGACCTTTAATTACAAAGATAAATGTCGCGTGTTAAGAGAAATGACGCTTAAACCAAATAGCTGTTTCAGCCGTCGATATGTGTACAATGAATTTGTCAAGGACTATTGAGTCATTTTTAAATCATATAAAAAAAGCAAAGATTTGGTTTAGTAAATGGTGAATCATTCGTCAAACGATTTACCCTCAAATGACGTCACGAAATGTCACTTTAATCACTTCGGTTCTTCGATGTCCGTGTAACAACAATTTAGTGTGTAAATGATACGAATAATATTGTTGAATAAAATATTATTGTCAATACATATTTTTTTTCTACCCACCCCCTCGCATATTTTTCTCCTTTTCTCCTTTTCGATCTGTTAATGCATAATTCGATTTTGTTAAGTCAGAATCATTCGAAAATCGATAAATAGTTAGATGAGTGCTTTGTTTCGGTGTGAGGTTCGTCGAAACTATGGAGGGCAGAGGTAAGGAGAACCGTCGCTGTGTGTGAAAAAGTGTCCGTTAAAATCTGCTAAATAATGGTGGCGCTACAGTAGCAACCGGGTAAATTTAAAAAAAAGGCGCTGAAAGCTATTAGAATAAGATAGAGAAATGAAAAAGAACGAAAGAACTGTAAGCACTACAAAATAACAAAAAGTATTTTGTTTAAAGCCGATAAGAAAATGCAATCGATGTCTCCACGTTTTACCCACTGCAATAATTTTAGGTTATATTGACGAAATTAGTTTGGATTACGTAAACATTTGTGATGTGTTGTATATTACACTGTCACTAACTACTCTAGTCATTAAATATATTAAATTTCCTAACTCAGCATACTTCAATCAGTTAACAAGTGCTCAATTCATATCATATCCTGTGCCTATGCTAGCGCCATTCTGGAGGATTTTTGAACTGTTATTTAGTGCTGAAAGCGGGACACTTTTTCAAGTTTCTCTCATATGAGACGGGTCTCCTTACCCTACCCTCCATAATCCATACGCATCGGATCTGTCGACGCATCTGTTGCATATTGACGATACTATAAACGGTCCCCCTAGTCAGAGGTGGGGGCAACCTTTTGAGTCGCAAGAGCCAATAATACTTGCCAACAATAAACTTGTACTTGCATAAATATATTTTTTGATAAAAAAAACAGAATCTAATTATTCATAAGAAAAATATCTATTTATTCTTATATAGGTAGTGTTTTTTTTACAACAAATTAGATAATATATGTATGGTATTATTAGATAATCACTTATTATTCAAGTAAAAAAATTAAACAAACATTTACTTACAACAATAGGCCGAGAGACAGAAATGGTGCCCAATTCTCGTTAGGACAAATTCAGGACAATTTTTTAATGTTTTTTTTATTTTATTAAATAATATTTGCGTATGGAACTAAAGAGTTACAAATCCAAAGAGCCCTGCATGTGGCTCGCGAGCCCCAGGTTGCCGACCCCTTCCTTTTTTTTAATGCTGGTGAATCCATTTACGGATACCTGGTCGAGACCTCGGGGTAACGGACCGGCTTATGTCGGACTCCGGCGCGTCCTGAGAGGAAGAAGGGGAGAAGAGAAGGACCGAGGTCCTTCACCTCCTCCAATTTCTCACAGGAGACTATGCTTTCAAAAAAGCGCGCGAGACACTTGCTACGCGGAACCGACTACCGACTAAACCCCATCGAGCTCCACCACACCAACTACACGAAACTTACGGTACCGCAGTGCGCGCCGAAAAAGGTTGCCGACCCCTTACCTAGAGTGAAAGCGACAAGCAAGGCTTACTAGTCGCCTAGACCTGTGATGCCGCAAACATGTTCGACTTTTTGTAGAGAGAAAATTTTTGGCGACTCCTAAATAGGGGTATGATGGAGGTAGATGGGAATGGTGCTGCTATCTGCTAAATTGATCGTACAATTAAAAAATTGGTGATCCCCAACAACTTTCTGACGGTCCACACAGGAGGTTCTGTCCGGAGTTGGCGCACCACTGGCATAGATGACGCGCGTAGTTGAACGAGTTAACAGCCTACTCGATGTGAATTGGGGATCGGATACCCACACACGTTACAACGTGAAAACTGTTAGGCATGTGGCAGTTGTATGTTGGTGGTAATGGTGTAATATTCCAAACCTAAATGATTGCTTCATCGGTGATACCAACTCGCGCGGGACACGATTCTCTCTACTGGTGCTCAGGCAGGGGCTTGGATGTCACCTTGTCAATGCTGATGTCCATGACGCTGGACGCTGACCACGCTCCATCAGGTGGGTGGTGCTGGACTGTATATCACCAAAAAACGGTGACGGTGACTTCATCGTCGCATATAACTATCAGCACTGCCAAGGGCTCACTCAAGCCTGAGAATTCTCTTTAAACCTTGTCATAGGAAACCCAATCGAATAGTGCTAGTAGCTAAAATGATGTCTCAAAAGTGGCAAACACAGTGGTCGCAAGCGGTAGTCACTTTTTCCCCTACCTATTCGTTGGTAGCCTAAGAGGCTATTCCAGCTATGCGCGGGTAGGTGAGCTCATGGGCTCAACTTGAGAGAATTTGCCAACACCAGCCGTAGCAAGAGCAGTGCTTCGCAGAATCTACCACCGGATCGGAATCGCGACCCACTGAGAAGATCCCGCGAGAAACTCAGTGGGCTGTGTCTATGGGTTGATTCGTCGAGCTTTTCGTCGTAATCGACGAGTTCGACGAGGACGGTGACCGGTGCTTGAGTGGCCTAAAAGCAGCGAGAGTGAATCCGGGAGATCCGACAAGACATTTTTCGGGCGACGTCGGCTTTGCGTTACCCCGTCGCGATCGGATAAGGTAGTAGCGACGAACTGTGCTCACATGAGGGGAGGTGCAGAAGTAAATAGAATATGACGGCACCATCTTAAACATTTCCTCGCATCAACATCATTAGCCGACCACAGTTACATATGGTCGTAGATTCTTCTAAGAGCCCTCATCGCGGAACTTCTATATGTAAGGCCGTGTGTAACTTTAGTGGTTCCTCCAGTACGCCCTTCAAGCCAAGCCTCGGCATTCGAAGAGGATGAGAAGGTCGTTACTGGATGGATATTGCATAGAGAGCGCGATCCACTAACGGTTCTTTTAGGTACCCCAAGCAGCGTCATCGTTTTCGTCGAACCCGTTGCTTGCGACGAAGGGCTCGGAGAGTAAATGAACCCACATACAGACAGAGCCCACCGAGTTTCTCGCCGGATCTTCTCAGTGAGTCGCGTTTCCGATCCGGTGGTAGATTCTGCGAAGCATTGTCCTTGCTAGGGTTCGTGCTAGCCACATCGTCAAGTTTGAGGCCCGTGAGCTCACCTACTAACCCGGTGACGCCGATATGGTCTCTAGACTAGACCATCAGTTTAGATAGGAAAAAAAAAGAAAATTCAAATTTAACTTCCAAAAAATATGAAAACCAAGTCTTAATATGCAGCTAAAGATTTGGTTTATCTGAATTCTAGCGAAAAATCTGAGAGAATATGGGGGATCACACCACAGAATCACGGCCAGACGAATATGAATCCAGATTTGCCGCTGCCGTGCACGGAACAAGATATTAATGTAAGTTTTAATTAATAATTATTGAAACTTTCCACTGCCGTGTAGGTCACCGGTGCCCTACGCAGCGCACTGAAGCAATTATGTCGATTTCTGTTACTGAGGTGCCGGAACGAGTAGACTCTAGGAAAGACGAATCTGAAGATACTGAGAAGGACTGGTGGTAGGACGTCTTGTGAGTCCGCACGGCTGGGTACCACCACCCTGCCTATTTCTGCCATGAAGCAGTAACGCGTTTCGGTTTGAAGGGCGGGACAGCCGTTGTAACTATACGGAGATCTTAGAACTTATATCTCAAGGTGCGTGTCGCATTTACATTGTAGATGTCTATGGGCTCCGATAATCACTTAACACCAAGTGGGCCGTGAGCTCGTCCACCCATATAAGCAAAAACAAAAAAGGAATTTATTTCTAAGAGACCCAAAAGACTAAAGCGTACAAAAGAAGACAAGGTTAGGTAATTCAGGCGCTTAGTAACAGTAATCGACATATATATAACTTATAACCTATAGATAACTTCAGTGCGCCGCGTAGGGCACCGGTGATCTACACGACAGTCAAAAAATCGTGTAATCACTCATGTGTCTAGTATAACTATGGTGGTAGTAATGACTATAACACGACGGCCTCCCCACCCTCAAAACTGGAACGCCTTACTGCTTCCCGGAAGACGTGGTGGTGGTACCCGCGTAGCCGTGCGGGATTACATATCTTATTAAGGGTTTGATTGTTATTACACAATGCTGTTCATTCATCGTGTCAGTCATTTGTTAAGTACGTGTATTTCATTGGCAAAATCGGTACCCGCTCGGGGGGTTTTTAACACCGGCACAGTCGATACAAATGCATTTTACGCCATGACGTCTTCAAACAAATCGAGATTGATAGAAGCTACGTATTTAAAACGTTTGTTACGTTAAACTAATTTGTACAGTAAATTAACTTGCAGCTTTCGTGCAAAATGCAGTACGTAACGTCCCTAGCGAGCGAACCCTCGCCCCCCCAGCTGCGGACGCAGCCGCCCCCCGCGCGCCCCAAGAAGCAGGACGCGATCATGCAGACCGACCCCGTGCCGTCGGACGAGGAGCCCAGGGACAGCTACGCGGACTGCCTGCCGTACAAAGACGACTACATACCGCAGACGAACGAAGAGTACAACACAGAGGCGGAGAAGTACGCGCTGGAGAGGAAGAGTCACTATGAGAAGACAGAGTTCCTCGAGAAGTATCGGAGCGACCTGTACTACCCGGACTCGGTCGAGATGCTCAAGAATCAGCAGCAGAACCTTCAACTACTGCAGGACGAGCGCAGGATGAACGGGAACCAGGGTTTCTTCAACGAGGCCGAGATCAAACAGGAAATAGACATACCGGTCGACGATGAAAAGTATTTGTACGAGCGGAAAGACATGGGTGAGTTACCGGAGCCAACAGCGCACGTGTATTGACTAGCACTACCCCATGTCTCCCCGTTGGGGGGATGAGTCGATTAAGGGATTTACCTGATAATTTATTCACTGGGTCTGTGACGCCACCTTCAGTCACCGGGTCGAAGCTATTAGTATTAATTTGTATTCTATAACGATTGCCCTACCATTAAAACTGGCACACACGATCACTTCGCGGCAGAAAAGTCAGGGCAGCGATAACTTCCTGACTGGACTCACCATATACAGTGTCACCAGTCAATCCGAACGCAGTACGCTGGTATAACACTTGGAAAAGGTTGCTCCTCATTCTCCGGTGCCTTCCTTAGACGCCTCACCCTACTCACGGAAGAAATGGGGTAGCTCTCCTGTGTTCTCAGTATTCGAAGTGGTTAGATCTTATGAAGTCAAATATTTCTTTTCGAAGCTTGCACGATTAAAATAATTTTTAAAATTTACGCTCTTGTCAGACCGTGGCCGCAAAACATGTAAAATGCAATTTAAAAAAATATGGTAAAATCGCTTTAAAAAAAATGTAAAATCGTTTTAAATCTCGATAATGGCGGTTCGCTTGCACGGTTTAATTTTGTTCCACACAGAAGCGGAAGCGGTCTACAGCGACAGCCAGAGACAAATAATAATCGAACACATACAGAACCAAGTGAAACAGGAGCCGGACTTGAGCAACGGTGAGCATGCTCATTGGATTGATAATTCCAGCTGACGAACGCTTACGGGTGTCTGTCTCTTGTCGGTGACGGCGGCCTTGGAGAATGGACAGCAGCGGTCCCTGCTAGCACTCACTGATACTATTTCTATATCTAACGCAAAACAACCATATCTTCTAATTGATGTTCCCGGGTTTAGGTACATGGTGAGTCGTAAGCTCGGCCGCCGACTAAAGCAATAGACACAGAGCAATAGTCGCCTTTGTGTGATCAGTGACCGTTGTACAGGCCGGCTGAGCCTACACTTGTCTCACGCTTCATCCTGGCTTTGGGCAATTGCACCCGGGACGGGTCTTTGTAGTTGAAGAACTTAAAATAGAAGAACTGTGTTTTATTTTGATCATGCGATCCTTATCGCTTTTTTAAATCAACGTAAACTTATTATATCATTATCGGTCCTTGATGCTCGTGCCAATTGTCATATTAATGAGATGTCTTAAAGTCTTACATAGATGTATAGAAACAAGATTAGCCATTTGAAACTATAATAAATAACCACGTTCTATCACCAAATGTCTTCTTGATTTAACCAGAAGATGTTGATCCTTCATTATCTCCACGTATAAGGTGATGGACACTCAAGGCTGGTGGTGGGGGCATTGGGAGCCCCTACTGGTAGGTACCGCCTGTTTCTATCATGAAGCAGTTATTCGTTTTAGTTTGAAGTGTGGGAAACTGACTAAGAACTCCTGTCTCAATGTGGGCATTTACGTTGTAGCTGTCTATGGGCTCCGGTAACCACATAACACCAGTTCTACCCTGAGCTAGTCCATCCAATTGAGCAATTAAAAATAACTATAATCGTCTATGACAATAATACGTCCATTGTTATCTTTTAGGCTGTGAAAACGTGTGTCTTCAGCCTCAGAGCAGTCCATACTATCAAAACGGTCATAACGATGTCAACAGTAAGTTTCGATGACGGCTATTCGATTTCATGCCTGGTAGTAGAAGATATTGTAGGTCCATAGCTACCATCATCGTATTTCGGCAGCGCCACCGTCACGTACTCCGGTTTGAAGAGGCAGTAGTTAGTAACCTCTCCCTGGATTGCCACGGCCATGGCTACCGGTGACAACACCAGGTGAATCCTAAGGTCGTCTAGTAAAAATGAAGAATAATCGAGAAGATCTTGAATATTGGTCACCGTCGGACCTGACCACGATCAACCCAGTCGAGTCTCGGCTTGGAGGTTGAAAGGATCGCTCTTAGCGATAAGACAGTATAATTTTGTCGTAATTAATGTTTTGCATTTTTGTTTATTTTGGTGTACGATGAATTATGCTCCCTCTATCTCTATAGGACTATAGGAGCTAGGTTACTAAAAGGGGGCAAATATATTCTGAAGCTATTGTTTTAAGCTAATCATTATATCGACCGGATAACTAACTACTATTACTACTACTTCTACTACCACTACTACTTCTACTACCACGTCTACCACTTCTACTACTATTACTACTGCTCCTACTACTACTACTCCTACTACTACTACTCCTACTACTACTACTCCTACTACTACTACTACTACTCCTCCTCCTCCTACTAATACTACTACTTCTACTACTACTACTACTTCTCCTCCTCCTCCTCCTACTACTACTAATACTACTACTACTACTACTAGGACACGTTTTAAAATACGTTTTGTGATCGTTCGACAGTCGTGTACTACGATCAGGTGTCACGTCCCGGACCCGAGCTCCTGATAGCGAAACAGAACGCCCTGGCGGCGCACACGCAACTCTGTAAGTTTATTCAAACATGTTTCTAGTTATTTAGACGAGTAGAAGAGCTCGTCTGATGCTTTTGGGCAGGAAGCCGAACCTCTTAGGTGTCCGCGCCTAATGGTCACGCGGTGTATGTGAGACTTGACGGTCTGTAGATGTTGGGAGCAGACCGCGGGCCCAAGGATGGCACGACTGAGACGTGAGATCGAAATGTCGATAAGTAAGGGACGCAAAAAAAGTGGTGGCGTCGACCCGTGCGGACTCGGCAGACGTAAACAACAAGTAAATTCCGCTTTTAGAACTTAATATATCAGTTGAAATATTTTAAATCATCCGATAATGTTGAGCAATTTAATATTTGAGTCGATTAAATGCGTTTTTACATAGTCATCCGTGAACGGTAAATGTGTAAAGTATTCGAAGTTTGATTTCCAAAAGATAGATATAGATATATAGATACAGATCAAGCTATTATTATTTTATTTATTTATTGCTTTGATGTGAAGACGAGCTCACAGCTCACCGGGTGTTAAGTGATTACTGGAGCCCATAGACATCTACAACGTAAATGCACCACCCACCTTGAGATATAAGTCCTAAGGTCTCAGTATAGTTACAACGGCTGCCCCACCCTTCAAACCGAAATGCATTACTTCATTCACGACAGAAATAGGCAGGGTGGTGGTACCTACCCGTGCGGACTCACAAGAGGTCCTACCATCAGTAAATGTGTTTATATGTGGATTATTTTATTTCAGGGCAGAATACGGTGAAAAGACCTTTTTTTTACAGTGAAAATTCGCATTACACCGGATCCCAGCTGCTACATAGATACGAGGTGCGTAATAACTCGTATTGTTATTAACATCCCGTCAATATTAGCTCTGGAATATAAAAGAAATCAAGACTTCGTGTTTTTTAAAATCGTTCTTGCGATAACGTCTCCGACGATTGGAAGTTGTCGCGGCCTATAAATCGCCCCGTGCGCTCGTATCTACGCTACTACTGCCACTATTGGAACCAATACGTACCTGAGACACGATCACGAATGACCCTTATGTATGAATAGTAATAGGTAGACAATGGCTTGGCTCTGCCGCTGTCATTGCTGACGTCCACGGGCGACGGTAACCAGTCACCGTCAGGAGGGCCATAATATGCTCGTCTAATTACAATTGCAATAAAAAAAAGTATAATAACTAAAAAGGAATCTCCTGAAAATTCTTATTTGCGTATTTATTTGGTGGTCTGGTTTATTTGGTTTATATGGTGAATGGCTCCAGCCTGGTTTGAAGAATGGAGCAGCTGCGGTACTGGTCGATTGAGACCCCGTATCTCAAGATAGATGGTGGCATTCTTATTGTTTACGGGCTCTCCGGTAAACACTTAACCTCAACTCATCATTCTCCTGCCCTTCTTCCAGTCACCTGGGATCGGCGCAACATGTTTTCTCCTTCCATACTCCTCTATCATAAACTATTTCTTCGCTCACTCTCCTCTTACACATATCGTCTTTCACATAATCCATGCATTCCGAACGCGCACTTCTCAACTTCTCTGTCAGAGGTGTCACTTTCAGACTTAACCTCAACAGTTAACCTCAACTAGTGTGCCATTAACCACTTGTCTACACCATAAATATATAATTAAATAAAACCCTACTGTACTCCGCTCAAGCGGTGAATGCTGAAATGGAAAAAAAAAACAAAAAAAATTAATTACCTTTTTTTCATTATTTTTCAGGATCTCACGAGGATTTTACAGTGATGAAAGACATTCCAAAGTTTATTATTAAATAAATAAAAAATTTGAAAAAAAAATTAAAAGAAAAAGAAATGTGTTTAAAAGAAGTTCTCTATGATGACGAAAAATCTCTTTTTATGGTTATATTTTGTAAAGAAAGTGAAAAGAAAAAATATGGATATATGAAATAAGAAGTACAAATGCGCCCTCGGAAAATAATATATCATTATATTTTATATTATTTGGAAGAAAAGAAAAAAGGTTTTCCTTTTTTGTTATATTTTTATTTATTTACTTTGTTACTTTTATTTATCTTCTCAGGGATTGGGCTGCGAGTCAATTGTTGTTTATAGAAAACATTTATGTATATAAAAAAATGGTAAACGAAGTGTTCGGTTCGTATTTCGGCGATTCGATTTGGTTCAGCTACGTACTTGACAAACGTATAGGATAAGTGTGCAATGTAATTTTTTAAATGGAAGAACTCAAATCAAATCCGAAATTCTTTTTACGATGAAACTTGTAAAATTTTGACCGAAATCTTAAAAAGCATTTTATAAAATCAATTTTAAAAATCGTAAAAATAATTTAACGGCTTTAATGACGAAACAATAGTCATTCGTGACCGCGGAGTGAAGTGCTCGAAATATTTTACATCTACCCCCGAGCAGCGCTTAATAGTATACAGAATATACACAAATCACCACAGTACATATATATGTGTGTCGAGGGGTGAAAGGCTATTAAATTTGTCTTAAGCGACATTTCGCTTAACACGCGACATTTATCTTTGTAATTAAATTTCCATTTTATTTGGTATTAGCATGAACAGTTTAATGTTTTTAATTGAACTTCAATTATGTTTACTCCATTCGAATAGCTGAAGAAGTATTTTTGTTATGATATTTTTTCCAAATTTTAAAATTTTAAACGGCTCTCTTGTAAATTTGCAAAAATGTCGCTTAATCGAAATAGCCTTTCCCATCTCTATATATATATATTACTTAGTACGCTTTCGATTTAATATAACCGTTAATGAAACTTCGAGTACTTTACGATTCTCGTGGTCACGCGTGACATAAATTATGTAAAAATATTTTTAATCGATTCAACGCGATTTTACATTTTAACTTTTGTTTATCTTTTCAAAGTTCATCAGTCGTGTTCATGTATTATAACGATTTAGATACAAAAATTAGCTACGTGATTGCTCGATTTAGCGAAATATAGACGAGGAGCTAGCGATGTTTGATAACGCAGTTAAAAAATTACGCAGCGTCCATTTGAAATTAATCAATAATGTTTTATACGTGATTTACGATTTCTTTTTATTCATTTTTATGTTTTGGCTCCGGCAGGGTTTGTGCATTAGCCAGCGTCAAATAATAACATAGTAAAAAACGAAGGAAACTAATCGTGATATAACATAAATGATTAAAAACGAATTAAATTTAAAAATGAGATGGTATGTGATGAAATACAATCTCAGTAAAATGGTGGTCATTTACTGAGACTTTTTCAGTGGACTTTTTGGAGGATCCCGAGAAGTTACAATCAGCGGCTTTGTTTGATTTTCCCACATTTGTGCACAAACAAACTGCCTCAAGCAAATCATGACTTCTTGATGGAGTAATATCGGATCGACTAGTCGTTCTAGTTTTAATGTTGGCTGATGGAAATTCCTCGCCATATGCACATTAATCGTTCAGGGAAAACTGCAAGCATTTACCGTGAAAAGACAACATCGAAGAGTGAAAGACGTTTAAGCGACATTTCGTTTAACATGCGACATTTATCTTTGTAATTAAAGGTGCGTTTTATTTGGTATTAACATCAACAGTTCGATGTTTTAACTGAACTTCAATTAAATTTACTTCGTTCAAATAGCTGCAGTTTTTTTTGGTGTTAAGGTATTTTTTTCTAAATTTTACCCTTTAAAAATGGCTGTAAATGGCCCTGTAAAGTTGCGAAAATTTTGTTTAAACCAAATAATCTTTCATCCTTCGATATCGTTTTTGGTGTGCCACTTTCTTTTTCACATTGCCAATTTCTGTATGTTGCTCGGTTGAAGGTATCCAGGGAGCTGGATGGTTAAGAAAGATTTTCATGACACATAAACCGCGAAGTGATAAACGAATCGAATTTATTTGGCGATTACGGTATAAAATAGTGTGTATGTATTAAAAATTAATAGTTTAGGTGAGAATTTAAAGTTTTGGTCACAAGGCTAAATATATGTTTAAAAAATAATTATTGGTTGTCTGTAATGTCGGTTTACGGACGATAATTTTACGTGATAACGTCAGTAGCGGAACTATTCGAACTGCTAGCTGTGACGTCACGCGAGAAGAGAGATAAACGTGTCACAAGCCAACGCTTAGGCCGATCGTGCTTCTCTATTGCTTGTTCCGCGCTCTCGCTCGCACGCTCAGGCTCGGGCGGAATGTGACACTTTTATGTGCGTGCAGCCGGCGTTCATCGATTTATAAGATGTTATCACTACTAAAACAAAATCGGATATTCTTGCCAAAGCTTTATCGTACGGGGCAATGCAATCACTCAATCACTAGTCCCATATACCATAAACTTATGGAATCTATGACTAAAAAAAGTTTTTATTTTCGAATTGTTCCATCGATAAATTGACGTAATGAAAATTTAATACGTGTACATTAGAAAGAGCTTACACTGGATTCTGAGCGCGTCCCTAAACAATTGATGCTGGGGATTTGCGAGATTCTCTTTGTTTGTGATATTACGGCATTTGCTTAGTTCGATTTAAGGCGATGCTGTCATCCCCGCTGTATCTTTGAACACTATTCAAGGCTGTATTGATTAAAACTTTATATATATTCATTCGGGAAACAAAATCGATATAATGATACACTAAACTAATGCATTCGTATTATCGATATAATATCGATTCGTGTAAGAATGAAAATGACAATACAATAAAATCGATTATCTTTTTTATAGATTAAAATGTTATTTGACTCTGACCATTGGGTGGGTCCAGATTCCATCTTAGTAATTGAAGGTCCGTTTTATTTGGTATTAGCGTTAACGGTTCGATGTTTTTAAATTAATACTTCTCGTATTATCGATATAATATCGATTCGTGTAGGAGGGAAAATGACAATATAATTACATCGATTAATTATTCGATTAGCATGAGCAAGATGCGAACTAATTAAGCGTAGAATCTTATGTTTGTGAAATGGTATTCGGAGGAGTGGTGGTAGGAATGCGTGTCGGGCCACACATCCGGAAATGCGATTTTAAAAACACACCCCGCAAATACCATATCGAGGTGCGAAGGATATTTCATCTAATACACGACATTTATCATTGTAATTAAAAGTGCGTTTTATTTGGTATTAGCTTCGACAATTCGATGTTTTTAATCCAATCATAATCACAGACAATTCGAGATTTGCTTTCATTTTCAATAACTCACTTTTTGTATTCGTATTTTTTTGAATCGGTAACTAATTAACTAAAGCTCCTTTCTTCGGCATACGTGATTAAAAAGATTTTTACGGTTTAATATCGCGTCCCCTGTTGTGATTAAATGAAACTTTACACTTTACTGTTGTCATCCGTGACCACGACGAGAAATGTATTCGGAAAGGCGGATGCAATACAAGAACGAAAAATAAAGATTGTGCATCTCTGGACGCCCGACAGAAGTGATAACTTAAACTAATCTAAGTTGAACTATTGAATATTGAATCGACGGTTCGCGCTTCAAGTATGATTCGTCTAAAGTTCACGGTCGATGTTCGAGTCGATGTAAATGACAACTAATGTAATGTTTTTTTTTTTACATTATTAATGTAATTTTTATTTTGGTGCTTATAAGTTACATACGGTTTAGATTTTCGCTTTTCGTCAAACGTTTTTAAGTTGTCTTTAATATGTTCGTTCATATTTAAGTTACCGTGTTTTTTTTATTTTATATTATTTAAATAATAATAATTATTATTATTATTTGTTTTAGAGTTTTATTTTAATGCATTATTAAGGTCTAGTCGTTTGTTTTTGGGAGTAAATTGTAAATATATGTACGTTTTCTAAATTAGAAAAATTAAAATTGTAACAAACAAAAAAAAAGTGATGATATTGGTATTTCTTATTTTCGCCGATGGCTTGGGATGAGCGTTCGAAAAAAATTAATTGCATCTCGCATTTATGTTGATAATTCCTCAAAAACTGAAAGTAGAATCATTGGAAATATTGGTTACGACGCGAGTCGATCGATACTGCATCGTATGATTATGGGGCGACGGTTGGAATTGCCTTAGCAAGGTCGGGTCGTATACAAAACTTTGTCTAGACGCGGACTTTGTCTACTGCGTACTAGAAATGACTTCTTTTCAATCTAAAACTATGTAATTTTCAAACACACAAAGAAATGCGTGTATTCTTGCGATGGAAATTACACAGTAAATTACAATATATATATACATAATGTTCTAAGTTTATTTTGTAAAATTTAATAAAAAGAATCATTCATACAAGTAGTTTTATTATTCACTATCCTTATACAATGAAGCTAGAACACGTGTGCTAAAGTGGACGGTGTCAGGTGATGTCCATGAGCTCCAATAGCCATTTAGAGCTGGAGCGTGAGCTCTGCCCGTAGGAACAATAAAATAGACGGGTGAAAAGCTTGGTTTAAGCGACATTTCGCTTAACACGTGACATTTATCTTTGTAATTACAGGGTCCGTCTTATTTGGTATCAGCATCAACGGTTCGATGTTTTTAATTGAACTTCAATTAAGTTTACTTCATTACATAAATCATTTTCTTAGGGACGACATAGAAAATAAATGGATTTTTTTATTATTAGTTGAATTATGGATGAATGAATGGTAAATTATATCTATGCTAATATTGTAAAGCTGGAGAGTTTATTTGTTTGAACGCGCTAATCTCAAGAACTACAGGTCCCATTTGAAAAATTCTTTCAGTGTTAGCTAGCTCATTTATTGAGGAAGGCTATAGGCTATATAACGTCACGCTAAGACCAATACAAGCGGAGCACCAATAAAGAATGTTTCAAAATCGGGTTTTTTTCCCTTTTGAGAGCTTCCGTCGCGTGCGCTGCGGAAACGGTTAGTTTCGCTAAAATAATATATGACAGAATTGTTCCCCTTTAAATGATCTAAAAAAAAATCCGCGACAGCATATTATGTCTAGGTATATGTTAAGGTTGGCTCACTATAACGTTTTTATACTAATCAAATTTGTTCTAAAATAAAGCATTATTTGTGTATTCCACGCGGACGAAGTCGCGGGCAAAAGTGAATAATATCATAATATTTTGCACTGCACTAAAATTCGCATGTTAAATGATGATTAAGCATGCACACCGCTTTTAACTTATATGATAACTCAGTTTCACTATGCTTAGCGCATAAACGATTTCTCTCTTTCTCTCTCTCTCTCTCTTCAAATAGCTGAAGAAGTTTTTTTGTTATGATTTTTTTCCGAATTATAAACTATAAATGGTTCTCCTGTAATATTGGATCTCATCAGCGGGTCACGATTCCGATCCGATGGCAGATTCAGAGGAGCGTTGCTCTTGCTAAGGCTGGTGTTAGTAAATTCTCTCAGCTCGAGCCCATAAGCTCACCTACCCGCCCACGCATGACAGGAATAGTACCTAAGCTAACAGCGGATAGGTAGGGAAAAAATGCTATCTACCTTCTGTTATGAGGGTTTAGGATTGAGTATTTAAAACAAACTAGTGGTCGCCCAGTAGTCGAAATTCGACTATAATTAAC